AATAACTACTCCAAAGTAATTCCATTGGCTTGTTTCTTCAGTTGTCATCAGGTTCAATTTTGGCTATGCATGTCCTCTCTCTAAAAGATTTATACAAGGTCTCAACTAAACATGTCCTTTGTTATAAAACAGTCATTCTGATCCCTTGAAAGTGAATGACATTTGGATGAAATGAGCAGTTTGGCAATGTTTTCTACTTAACAAGTGTAATCTAAATATCAGAAACAAAATGGGGATACAGGGCTGCCTATATAAAACAGTCTGAGTTGACAAAGAAATGTCCCTTTGTCGGCACTCACCACTGTACCTAGGATCCCAGGGAAAAAGGTAATAGTAATTCCTTTTCAGAAGTTTTTGTCTTGTAAATGAACTTCTTTTGTAGGGCTGTTCATACAAGCTGCTTTATTTAGTAACAGATCCTGGCTCATATGCCAACACAATTTTGCCAACAGATATGCTGCCAGGCTTTAAGAAGGGAATCAACTCTAATAAACACCCAGGAATAGAGATTCCCACCTTGTACTGGGGTGTTTTGGGACAGGCTGCAGACAGGGCTTCATGGGCGCAACACTGAACATCTGCACATGGGAAGTATGTTCCCTTTAAAATGTTGAGTGTTCATGGGAGCTGACTCCCCAAGGAGTCACACTCTCCTGATTCAGAACTTGCTTAAAATGCAGAAAGAAAGCAGTAGTGCCCCAAGAAACATGAATACGAAGGAACCCTATCATATCTCTTCATAGTTGTGTTACTTCCCTGTATTAGCTGATCACTTATGGTGACAATAAAGGAAAGGAAAAAGCATAGCCTCTTTTCCTGTCAATCCTCTGTTGCTAATCAATAAACTGATAGTACAGACTATTGGTAGAATACGTGCACATAAAGAGTGAAATACTCAGTTGGTTTTGTGTGGTGTTCCCATTCTTCTGGTAAGAACAAAATATATATGCATGCATAAGCTATGAAATATGAATTGCATTTCAGTGATTCCATATATAAGCTAAATACTCATATTTGCATATTAAACTGGCATTGCACAATATAAAGAAAAATGGTATGTCTGCAAACATACCACCCCAAACGCGCTTGATCTTGTCTGACCTCAGAAGCTAAGCAGGGTCGGGCCCGGCTAGTACTGGATGGGAGATGAGTGATAAGATAGTCCTAACAATTTAGGGGCTGAGTGCAGTGGCTCACACCTGTAATTCCAGCACTTTGGGAGGCCGAGGTGGGTCACTTGAGGCCAGGAGTTCGAGACCAGCCTGGCCAACATGGTGAAACCCCATCTCAACCAAAAATACAAAAAATTATCTGGGTGTGGTGGCGTGCACCTGCAATCCCAGCTACTCAGGAGGCTGAGGCAGGAGAATCGCTTGAAGCCAGGAGGTGGAGGTTGCAGTGAGCTGAGATCACGCCACTGCACTCCAGCCTGGGCAACAGAGCAAGACTCCATCTCAATAAATAAATAAATAAATAAATAAAGATAATGCTAACAATTTAAATTTTTAACATTTCTTTACTTAGAATAACATTAAATAGCAAATAAAAAATATGATGACAAGTTGAGAGATTACAGACAAATGGGAAAACCTTTATATTTTAGGGGCTTTAAAGGCATTTTTTCCTATGTTTTGAAAAACAAGCCCTATATTTTCATTGTGCACTGGGACCCTCAGGTTGTATAGCCAGCCCTGGTTCTAGGTGTGCCCAAGGTACTGCTGATCTCCTCAGCCCTTGGGAGATTACATAAGCTGGGGGCAGGGTGGGCCCTACACTCCCTCCCCACTTATTGCACCTGACATCAGGCAGCTGTGGGAGTTTACTCTGGATGCTGTGCTAAGATGAGAATTTCCAAGGTGGGCATGAGCAGAAAGAGTTAGGCAAGCTTGAGCTCCTCGGGGATCAACCAGAATACCATCTCTGCTGGAATCTGGCTCTTGGGTCCATCATAAGCACCTGATGAACTTGAAAATGCATACAATCCTGGAAAAACGCAAGTTTATCACTCATGAACAATCTGAGTCCTTGTACCCTCTGCCTGGAACGCCATCCCTACTCTCTGAGGACTGCGTCTCTTTCATCCCTCCAATTTCAGCCCAAATGCTCTCTCCTTGGATAGGCCTTTCTGGGCCTTGACCCTTTTTTACCCAAACTCTCTATTTATTAAAAGTTTCTTTACTGAACTTCTCTCAATTCGTGTATATTTTTATCAATGTGAGGGTTTTCTCTGTGAAGCATGTAGGCACAAACCTGGTCCACCTTTCTCCCTGCTGTAGCCTCAGCTCTTAGCACTGGACTTGGCAACAGTGAGTCCACAGTAGTTGTTTGGAAAATGAATAAATGTAACAAGATACCTATAATTAGAATTTGTTAAGTTATTCAGTGGTTTTCAAAATTCAAATCTAAGACTTATCTCAATGAAGCAGCAAATTTCAGACATAAGGTATGACATAATCAATGGACTTTTGCCAAACCATATGTGGACTTGGATTTAACAAAACATAAAGGAAATAATTATTAATAGCTTAGGTAGATTTTTTTTTTTTTTTTTTTGGAGACAGAGTCTCTCTCTGTGGCCCCCCAAGCTGCAGTGTAGTGGTGCAATTTTGGTTCACTGCAGCCTCCGCCTCCTGAGTTCAAACAATTCTCCTGCCTCAACCTCCTGAGTAGCTGGGACTACAGGTGTGCACCACCATGCCTGGCTAATGTTTTTGTATTTTTACTAGAGACAGGGTTTTGCTATGTTAGCTAGGCTGGTCTCAAATTTCTGACCTCAAGTGATCTGCCCACCTCGGCCTACCAAATGTTGAGATTACAGGCATGAGCCACCACGCCTGGCCCAGAGTTCTTAAAATTGGTAATTTTTAAAGAGTAAAAATCCAAAAAACCCTTTTCCTTATTGTTTTCTATTTTTTATTATATTCCTTATTTCTGTCCTGAATATTAGCCCTTCTCCAGAAAGAAATTAAAAGAATAAAGTAGTTAAATGATTGCAAAGTTTTCCCCACTAGCTCCATCTCTATAAAAAATTATTTATAACAGTTGATTTCTTGTTTTAAACAATTTATTTGAATAAAATCAACTAAATTTTCTCCAGGTACAAGACAAAAAAAAGTTTAAAATATTGATAATGCTCAACATAATAGTTGTTTAAACCTTTTTCCTAATTTCTGTACTATATTGTTGTTTGAGATGTCAAGTTAGCTATTTTGTGAGTTAGAGTACATTTACTAACACACGATAGCATCAGTAGCCCAAGCTGGTATCCACATTAGTCCTGATGTGTCACTGCCTGAAAAGTTTTCAAAGTGATGCTGAATAGTATCCTTTGAACTTTTAAAAATACTGTTTTCCCTAAACCTGATTATTCCAATTGTATCACATTCTTATTTGAGAAAGCAGTGTTAAACAAAATAACAAAGCAAGTATTTTATAATGAGAAGTTCAATAAGTAGAGAAGGTGACATGACAAAAGTCACAATGGAATTAATATAAAATGGAATTTTCTCATTTGTAAAATAAAAAAAAATTTTTTTTGGTGCCTTGGTCCAACATACTTGACTGATGAGTGCCCAGCTCGTCCTAGTTGACATGCAAACTGACAAACCAATCACTTCTCATTTCTGCCAAGAGGCTCTTTTTAACAGTATGTGAAATAAAAACTCCATGCTGAAGGCCAAATTGACACCAGCCATAAGATTACGACTAGAGTGTTGTGGAAATCACTGCAAAGAATGCCATCTCCAAAACACTCACCACCAGCCTGGACAAAGCACGAAAGGGTACACTGAAGGGAATAATGCTGCCCTGGCCCCCGGGGGAGGGACCAGATGGGACCTAATAGCTCTTTTCTACTACTCATTTCTATGATAATTTTAAGTTGCCACATGGCATATGTATTTTTTTTTTTTTATCTAAAGGCAGAATATCAGTCAATGAAGTGACCAGGATTTTAATGAGAGGTATTTTTTTATGAACTGTATTCACATGGGATAGTTTTCATCCACCCCCAACTCTCACCCGCTATAGCAACACATCACTTACTATTAGGTTTGGAGAAGTATATATAGAGGTCAAACACAATACGTTTCAAATTATTATCAATACCAATTAGAAACAAAGAGATTCTAAGTTTTATTAGGAGGTCAAAAATTTTTTTTTGCATCAATTTTATGAGGTCACCCATCTTAATCTCTTTTTCTTATAACTAGAGATCATGTTTGAATTTAAGGATTACGGCAGGCCAATTAATGTTTGAGGAAAAAATTTTAGGAGCGAAATTTATTCTGTTTTTGGAAACAAAATCAGGAACTAGAGAAGAAAATATCAATGATTTGGGAGAATTACAAAAGAATGTCTAGCTATTCCTATTGATAAGTCCAAATGCAACTTAATTCAGGACACCTTTCGCACTTCTCTCAACCAGATGCAATTTCTATCTCTTCCGATCTCCCAGAAACTTACTTGCAGTTCTCAGGCGGCCCTCTCCTCTCAACCAGAAGCAATTTCTATCTCCTCAGATCCTCCAGAAACCTACTTGCAGTTCTCATGCGGTACCTGCCACATTCTTTGATTTATTGGGGTCATTTCATTTGCTGTGGTTTCTGGTAGGCACTCTGAATGAGCAATACGTTTTGCTCAGCATCCCACCTTATACACAATGGGTTGCCACAAATAAGAGGGATACAGGATGAGACTGAACGTGGGGCAAAATACCTAAGGAGACAGGAGCATCTCATAGTGGTCACAGCTTCTCAGACACAAACGTATGTGAGTAAATCATGAAAGTAAACTCTAAGTTTAATGCAGCACAAAATTGTTATATTTAATATAAATTAACAAATGCTATGAAAAACCACACTATGTTATTTTTAACAGAGACTGAAAAAAATTCTCTTTCCTCTTCAATTCAGTTTTGAATACTTACCTCTTATGAAAAATTGCCAGGAATCTTGATTCTAGGATGGTTAGTAAGTTACATATTTAAAGCAAAAAGATACAAGCTCTGGTAGAGTGGGATGAGGCACTTCACAGCCCTGCTGGCGTTGATGCACGTGGCACATACAAGGCTTGGCAGCAGCTTCCCACTCACTATGGCTCCATCGAACAGAGGCCCAAAAAATGGAACCTGTTGATTTGAAATGGAAAAACAAATTTTAAAAACTGGTAAAAGTCAAATCAAAGATATGAGAGTAGCTGACTGATGTCAGACCTGCAATGAGCATGTAAGCTGTCACCCACAGAACAGACGCTGATGTTGACAGGACGCAGGTTCAGGGCTTTCAAATCGAGTGAAGCAGGACTGCTCCACAATGCTCCTCTACTAGGCATTCTCCAGCCAAACTTTCAACAACAAAATCTTACCAGGTTATTCGTTTTTTCTCTTCTGTTGTCATTTATAGAAATGGCATTGCTCTTAAGTGCCTACATCATGTGAATTATGCATGATACACAGACATGCTTCACTGCACAACACTAGTCTTGCATCCGTCTGAAACCAGTTATGGAATTGGTAATGTTCCTGCCACGGGTGCTGATGTATATTAACTCTTAAAGGAGATGATGACGATCCCTGTCAACAACTACAAAGTCCCACACAGTCCTCATTCTTCTTGACCTTTCCCCCCTCTGCTTCCAAGATACTGTATTACCTTCATTTCTTTCTACTTTTTTTTGGGACAGGGTCTCCTTCTGTCACCCAACCTGGAGTGCAGGGGCACAATCACAGCCCATTGCAGCCTGGAACTTCTGGGCTCAAGCATCCTCCCACCTCAGTCTCCTGAGTAGCTGGAATTAGAGTCACACCACCACAACCGGCTTCTGTTTTTAATAGAGATTAGCTTTTCTTAGCGGAACCCATTTCTGTTATGTGGAAAACTCACAAGTTTCTGTACTTGCCTTTTTTGGATTTATTTCTTTTCTCTCCTTTTTCTCCCATTAGAATTTCTTTAATTTTATTCACTAATATGGAGATTGTAAGCTCCATGAGATTACAACTCTTACATGAGCTCCACGAGATCATGTAACTCTTATATTTATTCACTTATTACTTGCCTATTCATGTATTCAGAAAATATTTATTATGTGATGGACACTGTTCTACTCACTGGGGAAACAACAGTGAATAGTACAAAAATCCCTGAATTTATTGAGCTTGGAATTTATTGGAGATTTCAGAGAATAAACAGTATAAACATATAAAATATATGATAGGCAGGAAAAGTGCTAAGGTAAAAATAAAGCAGGGAAGGGCAACAGAACTTTATATTTGGGAGGGGTCTCCAGTTGGCTCTAATGGCCAGGGAGGGCTTTAAGCAGAGGATGACATTTCAGTAAAGGCCTAAAGAAAGTGATGAATGAACCACAAGCTATAGGAAGATCTAATGGAAGAACATTCCAGGCAGAGTAACAGCACAGGCTTTGTGGTGGGAGTAGAATTACTATGTTTAAGCAACAGCAAGGAAGTCACCGTGGCTAGGGCCAAGCGAGTAAAAGGAAGAATTAAGAGCTAAAGTCAAGCAGATCACAAGGGGGCTTTATAGGAAGTTTTAAGGGTTCTGGATTTCTATTCTGAGAAAGATCAAAGCCTCCTGAGGGTTTAGGGAAGCAGGGGATATGATCTAACCTACATTTCAAAGGTATTGTTTTCGCACCTGTGTTGAGAAAACTGCAAAGGGGAATTATGTAGACTAGCTGGTGACCACTGAATAACCTAGGCAAGAGATGATAATGGCTTGGATCAGAATGGCAGCAGAAGTGGAGAAAGGTGATAGATACATTTTGAAGGTAGAGTTGTCAGGATTTGTTGAGGATGGTTAATGAGATGGGAGAGATAGAGAGGTGTCAAGGATGATGACACAGTTTCTAGCCTGGCCATTGGAAGGCTGTAGCTACCTTTTCCTGAAATGGAGAAGACTGAGAGGGAGGGTCATTAGCTCAACTTCAGACATGCTAAGTATCCAGTGATGATGTATTGAGCAAGTGTAGATATACCATGCTAGAGTCAGGGGAAAGGCCTAGGTTGGAGCTGTTCATTTAGAGATGATGCTTCTAGCCATGAGATCAGATAACATCAACAAAAGATCAAGAAAAGAGACTCAAGGACACTATGCTCTGGCTTTCCAATGTTTAGAGCTTAGAGAAATGAGAAACAATTAGAAAAGAAGGAGTGGCTAGAGATGGAGGAAGAAAACCCCTTCTGAGTAGCACTGTACCTGACACACAATTGGAAGGCAAATACCTGCTAAATGAGTTACATTCATTAATATTTTAAATAATTTAAATTAATGAATGTGGGTCTCCATCCTAGGTCTTTTAACTTCTCTCAAAAACTATTTATCTGTAAAGCCCCTTTTCTGTGGTTGGCACTGGTGAAGGGGCTTGGGATACAATAATGAATGAGAGACTGTCTCTGCCCATAAAGAGCTGACATGATAAGAAAACTATGGACTAACATCTCTCAGCAATGATGCAAAAATCCTTTATACATTTTTAGTAAATTAAATCCAGCAAGATAAAAAAGGACAATATATCTTGATCAAGCAGAATTTTCCATTGGAACTCAAGGTTCATTTAACATTCATAAATCCATCAATGCAATTTATTTTAGCAATGTGCAAAAATCCACATTGACAAAATACAGAATAAAAACAATATGACTTTAACAGATACAGAACAAGCATTAAATAAAATTTAACTCATTCATAATTAGAAAAACGAAACAGAACAAAATCGCTCAGCAAACCAGGAATAGAAGGGAAATACCCCAACTTAACGAGAGCTTAAAGGGGGAAAAAGGTGTCATAATTAATGATGAAGGATTAAATGTTTTCTAAAAGGGATCTGAAAAGGCAAGGATGTCTATGTTCACCTCTTCTACTCAACATTTTTGAAGATCCTAGTCACTACAATAAAGAAAATTAAGAGAAAGAAAGAAGGGTAGGGGAGACGAAGGGAACACAAAGGTTAGAAAGAAGTAGAATTGTTTTTATTCACAGATAACACAATTATGTATATGAAAAGTCCAAAGAAATTTAATTAGAACTAGTGAGTGAATTTTGATAAGTCTCAGAAAACAATATACTCCTCAAATCAATTATATTTCTGAATGTTAGCAATCAACGATTGGGAAAAGACCTGTAAAAACATTGTTTATAATTGCATCAAAATAGAATAAATTTGATAAAAGAATATGGAAGACATCTATATTGAAAACTATCAAACAGTGATGAGATAAATTAAAGACAAATTAAATAAATGGAAAGATGTACAATGTTCATGGACTGGAAGTTTCAATATTGTTAAGATATCAATTCTGCTAAAATTAAGCTATAGATTCAACAAAACCCAATCAAAATTCTGGCAAGCTTTTAAAAAATATACATGTACCAAATACTTCTAAGTTCACATGGAAATGAAAAGACAGAAATTAGTCAAGATGATAATAATAAGACTTATATTACCTAATTTCAAGGCACACTATAAAAATATAATAATAAAGAAATCATTATAGTGGTACCAGGATAAACAAATATTTCAATAAAACAAAATACAGAGTCCAAGAATAGAGTCATACCTACATGGTAATTGATTTGCACTAAAGGCAGCATATCAGTTTGGTGGAAGAAAAAAGTCTGTTTCAATAAAGACATTGGAACAACTGGAAAGCCATATGGAAAAGTGAACCTCGACCTTCATCTCATATCACACACAAAAATTGAGAGGATTATAGACTGAAATATTAAAGCTAAAATCATAAAGCTTCTAGAAAAAAACATGAGAAAATCACCACGACCTTAGGATAGGCAAGGATTTTTCAGGGTACAAAAGGCATAAATCATAAAAGAAAGAAAATACATTGGACTTTATATAAATTTCTGAAACTCTGCCCATCACAAAAATGAAAAGGCAAGTTACACATATTCACCAAACAGAACACAACCACAAGGTCCATCCAGAGGAGAACAAATTAAAAGTTTGTGTTATATTCACCCAACAGAATATTCTACAGTAATGAAAATGAATAAACCACAACTACATGTAACATCATGAAAATAATTCAAATACAATGATGAGTGAAAGAAACAGACACTAAAAAGTTCATACTACATAATTCCATTCCCAGAAAGTTCAAAATCAAGTAAAATGAATCAACAGGCCCAAAAGTCAGAATAGCGGCCACTTCTTCATTGTATTAGTGATTGAGGTGGGGCACAAGTGAGAATTTTGGGGGCTGGCAATATCCTCTATTTTGATCTGGGGTGGTATTACACAAGTGTGTTCACTTTGAAAACATCTATCATGCTGTACACTTACAATTTGTGTCCTTTTCAATATTAATATATTTCCAAGGAAACGTTTTCCAGAAAACAGCAAGAATACAGAGGATCTGAACGAGACAACTAACAAACTCATCATAACGGAAACATATAAAATACTCTACCCAACAATTGCAGAAAACACATTTCAAGCATGTACAGAATACTTTTTAAAACTGACCATATCCTCAGCCAAGGATCCACGAATACAGTCAGCAGGGTCTAATTCCAACCTGGCACCTCCTTGTGTATGGCCTGCAAGCTAAGAATGCTTTTTACTTTGTAAATAGTTGGAAAATAATTAAAAGAGTATTTTGCGATGTGAAAATTATGAGATTTAAATTTCAGTTCATAAATAAAGTTTTAATGGAACATGGCCAGAGTTATCCACTTACACACTTTCATTTTTTTTTTTTTTTTGGAGACAGAGTGTCACTCTGTTGCCCAGGCTCGAGTGCAGTGGCTCAATCTTGGCTCACAGCAACTTCCACCTCTCAGGTTCAAGCGATTCTGGTGCCTCAGCCTCCCAAGTAGCTGAGACTATAGGCCTGTGCCACCAAGCCCAGCTAATTTTTTTTGTACTTTTAGTAGAGACGCGGTTTCACTATGTTGGCCAGACTAGGGTCTCGATTTCCTGGCCTCAAGTGATCCATGCACCTCAGCCTCCCAAAGTGCTGGGATAATAGGCATGAGCCTCTGTGCCTGGCCCACTTACACATTTTCTATGGCTACTTTTGCACAATAATGGCAGAGTTATTTAGTTGTGACAGACTCAAGGCCTAAAATATTTACTATCTGGCCCTTTACAAAA